CGACGGATTTACGCTAACCATCCCAGCGTCGTTACCATGAAGTCCACAAGGAAGGATATTCACTGGCTCCGGAGAAATACAACGGAAATAAATGGAAAATAAAAGGTGGAGTGTCAGCAAGGGCTTATTTTTACTCACACGCCCTTCGATCCCCTTAAGATAACGAGATGGCCGATGGATGAAGATTGCGGAACAATCAAATTTTCACGCGAACTCAGCTGCAACAATGGTGACCAAATCTCAGCATCAGAATGATTACGTCTACCGACCATAAACCTTTGGTTCGGAAGTCTCTCGTCAAGACAAGTAGAAGCATTCTCGTATAAGTAGGTGCCGTTGCACAACCTGAACGACCGGAAGACAGAGTCAGTCTGCCTCGTAGGCACTGATCAATCTAATAGCTTCCAGGATGCCTGAGGGTACCATATTGTACAACACAAATGATCATAGACGTATACAGGCTGGTAAACCACGTGATAGTCCAGCTTTGTATGGCCCTGAAACTCAATTCTCCACTTTTGTTTCACTTTCGTGTCAAAGTGAAGAAGCTGTCGTCACTGGATTTTTCCCACTGGCGAAAGTGACATAGTACAATGGACCGTGCTCAAGGCAGTTCGGGATGCGTGTGACGCAGCAGACACATCAGGTTTTTATGTGTCCATCATTTAGAGATTGTGCTGCATGAGCCGTCTAGGTAACATCGTCAGTGCGTCGGGGCAATACCATTCTTCCTACAGATTCTGTATATACATGTGCAACTGTATGCAGCGATCGGTGCCCACACGCAAGCCCCCAGTGTCGGCATCGTATTAAATGACGAAAGGTGCGTAACTTGATAATCAAACTCTACAAAAACTTACACACATAAGTCGAAGTGGGTGGAAAAAAGCCAAAAAAGATTGACGGCAAGGACGAAAACATGGGAAATACACTGGAACAATGGCTCACTTATTCAGTGTGGACTGGAGGCCCCAGACCTCAAGATAAACGTTACTAGGTCTTTTAGGCGGAGCATGATGGGTTTTAGGCTCTTTATGCAAACAACAAGCGATTGCTCAGTTCGAAGAACGACACCACACTGATCGAACAGTGTCGCCTTGCAACACCTTATGCCGCTCACGCTATGTGAAATGCCAAGAGTGTTAGCCGAAGCAAACCGTCCAAGAGGGCCCCGAACAAAGCACTTACAGTCCGCTGGTCGTGAGTGGATGGAATTTTGCGCGTTTCTGCCCATCCAAACGTCACATCTGTGAAAAGTGCCGTAAGCGTGGCCATAAAGAATTCTACAGCAAGTTACGACCGAAGAACACGAAGAAATTACACCCTTCGAAAAACTCTTGAAAGCATGGTGCAGAATCGCTTCCCGTAATTGCCATATTTCAATGTGAACCTAAGTCAGAACGATGATTTACCATCGTGCTAATCGACGGTATCCCAAAGAAGCTGCAATTCGACACGGACTCAGACATCACAATCATTTCCAGGAACACTTAGAATCAAATAAGGAGGCCAATAGTGACCAAGTCTCACAGAATAACCCACAATGCATCCGTCGGTGTGCTAAAATTGGTGGGCCAACATAGTTGCAAGATTGCATTCAAAGGTGTGGAAGGGTCGGGAACGTGTTAGAGTTCAGACCGGCCGAAGTTGAATGTTCTCGGTCTCGAGTGGACTGAAAATTACAATTCTTTGATGTTCCTTTGAATCAGATCTGCAATATAGTCTGAGCAAGTCCAAACTCATCATCAAAGTTTGTCGAAGACAAGACACGTTCGCTAAAGGGAAAATTTGCCGCTGTCTTTAAGGACGGCTTAGGCCATTGTATGAAATGCAAGACGACACCGAGCCTGCGAGCAGGAGCGAAACCAGCATTTAAGGCCAAAAGACCGGTACCATATGCAAGCCTATCATCCGTTGATCAGACACCTGTCGACTGGAACGAGCCGGAGTCATCACAGCTATCAATTACTCATCATGGACCGCATCTATTGTAGCAGGCAAATGGCAAGGTAGCGACTGCGCTGGTTTCTCAACTGGACTAAACGCCGCGTTGGACGACCACCAGTACCCATTATCCGTACCGGCAGAAATCTTTGCAAAACTGAACGTTGGCAAGTGCTTTGTAAAGCTTGATCTGTCCCATCCCTACCTTCAAGTGAATGTTGTCGAAGACTCGAGGGAGTTGTTGAAGATCAACCGTCATCGTGGACTAGTCCAATATAACTGCTTGCCCTTTGGTGTGAAAACGGCACCAGCCATTTTCCAACAATTGATGGGTACCACGCTAGCGGGCGTTTCTGCAGCAGCTGCATATCTACTGATATCATAATGATGGTTCGAACACCGAAAGAGGTATTCAACCACTTGGACAAAGGGACAGGTTGTATACAGTCGTCCGGTTTCCGGATCCGTGGTAACTGCACATTTTTCAAGCCGATCATCAAATCCCTTGGCTTTATTTATGAAAAGGATGGATGTCAACCAGATCCGGCAAACGCAGAAGCCATAAGAAAAATGTCTCTACTAACAGACCTACAGCACATTCTTGCTTGTGACGCACCGCCCGCGTGCTCCGCTAAACAAGCTACTATCCAAATGCCAAACTTGAAACTGAACTTCAGAGTGCCAGAATGCCTACGAACGGTTCAGGACAATGCTGTCCTCAAACTTGCTTTTGATTCATTTTGATCCGTCCAAAAAGATTGTCCTAGCCACAGATACATCAAGCCATGGGATCGGTGAAGTACTTTCACACACGTACTCAGATGGATCTCGGAAAGCAATCGACCATGCTGCCATGAATCTTATGAAGACCGAGATGAATTACAGCCAGATGGAGAAAGATGCAATGGTCGTAGTGCTCGCGGTCAAGGTATTCCATAAAATGCTATACGGCCACTGCTTCAAGCTTCTAACAGATCGCAAGCACTTGATGGCTACGTTTGGTTCGAAAAAGGGCATCCCGGCCTACGCAGCCAGCCGGCTACAACGTTGGGCTCTTACCTTAATGGGGTATGAGTTCGAGATCCACTACTGGGCGACAATTTCCACTGGCTAAGCGGATGTACTGTCACGCTTAATGGATGCCCACCAACAAGGACATAAGGACATAATCATTGCTTCGGTCGAGATCGAACCAGACGTCAAGTAGCTGGGAAGTGACGCATTGCAGGATCAAGCAGTTACCGCAGCTGTACGAACCGAAACGCTTCGGGACCCAGTACTCAAGTAAGTCACACAGTACTACAAAACAAGCTGGCCACGTTCATGCTCATCTGCGAGTTGCACCAGTACTACCAGAGAAGACATTCGACCTCTATTGTGTACGACTGCATACTAGTTTCGGTAAGAGCGGTCATCTCCAAGACCCTTCAGGAGTGCGTTATTCGGCAGTTCCACTTCGGGCATCCTGGGATCAACCGGATGAAGACGCATGCCGGCAGCAATGTACACTGACCTTTCATGGACAAAGATCTATAAGAACTGGTTAAACGCTGCCAAAAGTGTGTCAATGTCTTAAAAGTGCCACAAAAGCGTAGCTTCATTCATGGCCAAAAGCTACTAAACCATGGTGCCGTATCTATGTCGACGTCGTAGGACCGATCAAAGGACGAAGTATCCTCATCATAATCGCCTCATACAGCAAGTGACCTGAATTATTTCTCATGGACAGCACAATCACTTATGCTACCGTATCAAGACTGCGCCAAATATTAAGTAGATTCGGCTGTCCAGAAACAATGGTAAATAAAGACGGCACGCAATTCATTTCGGCAACTTTTATGGAGTTCTGCATGCAATGTGTCGTCAAGCACATTCGCTCACCGCCGTTTCACACACAGTGGAATGGGCAGGCGGAAAGCTTTGTCGACAATTCAAGCGAGCTCTCCACAAATCAAAAGGAGAGGAACGTACAGATGACGTGGTTGACCGGTTCCTTTTCCTCTGTCGATCAACACTGATACCATAAGCCCCGGACGGAGTTTCTCCAGCACAGGCTACAATGAACCGGAAGCTTCGCATGCCTTTTGACGCCATTTTGTTGTGCACAGAGCCCTCTGTTGGGGAATGAAACCGCAGAATGGAACAGGATTTCAACCGACGAGAAGGAGCAAGGAAGCGATCATTCATAGTTGGACAGACCGTGCTAGTACGTGACTATCGCGAAGGCCACAAGGAGTGGACGCCAGTGCGGTCAAAATCAAGCGCAGAAATGTCATGTATGATGTGATCGTGGGAACACGAAACTGGGCACGGCATGCAAACCAGCTGTGCCAACCAGAAGAAGCAAAGCCCACTGATCTGCCGTTCGACTTATTGGTGGAAAGTTTCAGCCTGCCAAAGGAGCCTATGGACGACAGCTGTCAGCCCAGCAACGGAACGGCACGACAGACCATGGGACCCGCTTCCCGTGCACTTCAGCCGAGGCGATGGACCGACAGAATTCGAACACCGGCCAGGATACTACAGGTCAATCTCAGGCTTTCTTCATCCACCATGGATCCCATCTCAGGAGGTGTCAGGGAGAAAGTAAGAATTACCCGGAAAAAACAATATGTAAGTGGTCCATCGATTGCAATCGACTACTGCATCGAGTGCGAAGTTACTGGAATGTTCCAACACTTGCAGGTGCCTGACGCTATCCTGAAGATTGGCGAGATCAGCATTGCACTGCTAATTTTGATAGTTGAGCTAATTCTATAAGTCGAACGTTATGAGAAGACATACAAATTTGACCACGAACTGCTGCCTTTGAACGGTTCCAGTTGGACTGCAGGTAACACGTAATTTTGGGCAAGGTCGTTTTAACTTTTTCCCTCCTTTGGATTTGAGACCGTGTGGAATAGATTAAATGCATGTTTCGGAATTGCAGCAAGTGAAAGGAGTTAACACGTATTCTGTAAAAACATGTGCACCTAAATTGAAGTAGGCAGAAAAGTAGGCAAAAAAACTGACAGCAAGGACAGAAACATGGGGAAGAAACGGGAACAATGGCTCACTTGCTCAATGTGGAGTGGAGGCCCCAAACCTCACGAGGAACGTTACCAGGTCTTTTTGGCGGAGCATGCTGGTTTTTAGGCTTTTTCTGCAAACGGCTGAAAAAGTTGGCACAAAATTCCTACTTTTTCTACTTTGGATAATAGGTTATCCTTGTCAATGATGCCTCTTTTTGGCCCAGCGTCCTCTAACTGCAAAATATCCAAGACATCAAAAGCACTGCTCATCTGGTGAAAAAAGCTGGAAGATAACGAATGGAAACAATAAGAGATGAAAATAATACGCCTTGTGTTAAGCGGCATTATACTTTATTGAAAGGATAAACAAATTACTTAGTAAGAAAGGCAGCAAGTGCAAAGAGTATGAAGACAAAAGGGTAGGTAAATCGTGTAGTGTGGTGCTGATTGGCTTACTCATCATAATCAGCACATTCGTGGCGCTATAAACGGATGCGACAGGAATCAGCAAGGTTGCCGAGTCTAGTGCCATATAACGGCTCATAAAATGGTCCTGTATAACCCTAGATGTCCTGCAAGATACATCATGTTTGTGAGTGCGATCCGAAATGAAGGACAGCAGTCTACAAATCTGCTTAAAAAATCGAAGGATAATGTCAACAAAGCACTATGTAAAGATGGAATAACCTGGCGCGCACAATTGCTATGAGCTATTCAACATGACGTGTGTGTACTAATTAGTCTGACGTCGATCAAGAAAGTTTGAACGTGTGCTTCGCACAGAAACAGATCCAAATAATACCAAGGGGCTGGGCCATGAGTTACTTTAGACAGAGGCAGAAAAAATCAGAGACAAAAGCAGTGCATTAGTACTTCGCTCTAGTACAACAAATTGAAGGATGATTTCACTGAAGTGGTATAAGAGAAAGCGGGGACGCAAGACTTACATATTATAAGAAAATAGTTAGCAGCAAGATGCTAACATCGTGTTAACATCTTAGCGTTGGAAACAGCTGACTGCCGAAAAAAGTAAAGGCAACGAAGACAGCCTTCGCGTGGTCTTCGCTATCTTAAACCTTCTTAAACTGTAGTTCACAGACAAACGACAATACTATTGTAATTAGGCTGGACCTTGTGGTGGTACGATGTTATGTGTGTCACAGTGATCTACAGAGTTGCGTTGGGTGGTAAGTGCTACAACTTCAGAGCTAATTTTATCAGATAAATCAATCGTTAGAGGCCACACAAACTCAGGCATTAGTCCACTAGTTTCGACCCACACAACCGGAAAAATCCAGTCCATCCGATTCGATTTGAAGTCTTCGATCCTCGTTAAGATTGTGCCGCATCAAAGTATACACTTTGTTACAATTGAGTCAAGAAGCAGCATTTGCCTGAAAATTAGAGACCTCGTCGGTCAACACCTGATGTTGATAGGAAACCCGCCTGCATGGCTTAAAGTCTGTACTCACGTTACGATTCCCTTTACTGATAATTTCTCATAGCGTCTATCCGGAACTAATTCAGCTTCAAATGCTGGTCAAGGCACGTGTGGGCATTTCTCTGCGACACGGGCCTGAACCTCCACAAGCCGACTGGATCTCAATCAGCAGACAGATGTGCGCAGTCGATTAGCTGGCTCGTTTAAAGGCGGGACCAATAGGTGCCAGATTGATACTGCCGACTATGCCTCCCTCCCAAACGGCAGTGCTGACTAGGTTCTATCGCCAAATGAAAGGTCTACTCTGTCACCGAGGAAACAAGGATAGTGTGATGCTGGTTGATGATCTGAACGCCCATGCTAGAAATATGTCCACAGATGGGCCGAATGTGGGCAGCCAATACGATGTAGGATTCCGTAATGATAACAGTGAGCGGATGCTACACCAGTGTGAGGAGACCCGTCTATTTCCCTCGATCACTAACTTCCTACACAATATCTGCCGGAAGGTGACATTGTACTTAAAAGCTGAAGACCAGTAGTGGACGAAAATCGAGCAAACCGCAATCAATTATCGCTAGAGGCTGCGTCCAGAGCTGCCGACCGATTTGGAGCACAAAAGTAGACTCCGACCATGCACCTGTGCGTGCTGATTTGAGGGTGTGACTCGGCGGACATCAGCGACCGTACTGTGAGCGCATATGCGTCCGGTATTCTGAGTTCATATCAAAGTACGCTAAGATCCGGGCCAAGAAAGTGCTTCGTGAACAAAGTTGGCCGTGACTGGTCGTCTTCACTATGCCTCGGTAGCAATAGGTGTCTTCATGTGAGAAATCGGATTTCCAACCTAGACAATGAATCTCTACGCAGTCTATGGAACTTCTGGATACTCGCCGACACATTCCGGCTGAGAGCGAAGACGACGAGACTAGCAAACCTCAGGGATAAACCACGTACTAGCCAGAGAAGAGCCCGCGAAGCCTGGCGGTATCATCATATGTAGAGGATGGAAACAACCGCTGCTATTGGTAATTATTGGATGTTAATCTGTGATTAGGGAAACGAACAGCAGTTGGTGCTAGCGATACTATATGCGACGAGAGTGGACAGCCTATTCACAACTTATCAAAACGTTCGGAGTGGTGGACTGAACATCATGAAAAGCCAGTTAACCGGCCAGTGATCGCCATGCTCCTTCGGTTTTCTCTATGCATCCACCCTTTCGCGCAAAAGTCGAGCGTCATCTCCGACTGCTAAAAATAAATTTCTTTCAGCTCTCTTCAAATTAAAGGGAACAGCTCTTGTGGACGGGAGAGTTATTAATGAAGCGTGGAGCAGGTAACTATCCCAACCGACTGGAGCTGGATCTTCACGAAAGGCACACGTTCGGAATGCGATAATCATAAAGCGTCAGTTCCATCTCCATCGTTTCCAAGTTACTTGCCCCCGTCATCCTTCATGGATTGACTATCACTTGTGAAAACCAGATTCATGTAGGACCAGGCTGAATTTCGTCGATATCGAGGCTTCATGGACGGTATATTTATGATAGGTCAATTGTTGAATCACCGTCACAGATACTGGTGACCCACGCATAGTCATGTATCTCGAAAGGCTGGCTTGCTGAACAACCTCCTCGTGGTGCCAGCTGGGTGGTTCGGGATTATCCCGTTCCAGCAAAGCGTTCGGCAGCAGTGTTCTAGGACAGAGTGGGTTTCCGCCTTGCAAGCGTTCTCCCTATAAAAAGCCACATATGTCCGTTTAACAACACTGTGAGGTGACGGATATTATTTGCCACTAAATAAAGTCACTGCCCCTTGCTTCATACTGGAGAGGCATTGTATCCCAGCAAATTTATGCTGTAATTCTGGGAAGCCTTGGACCTGTTTGACAAAGGAACAAACGAAAGGCGTATGAACTGAGCAATCAGTCACCGGCTCCCAATGGGCGCGATACCCTGAATTCGCTCCGCTACCTTGCGGGCAGGCTATTCAGCCAAAGGCTTGAGGTGGTGTCCCCTAAGTCAACATCCTACTTCGGCTTGGACAACCGCTGACGAAACCATGGACTTTAATGTGTTGTATTTACTTTTACTATTTCTGTATCTTCTTTTGAGTCCCATGGTTTCTGATGGCTCTATGTCTGTTCGTAGACTGTTGCAAATATATGTATCTCAAAATCCAAGGTGCCTTCGAATCGGTGAATGGACGTGCTTTTTGCAAATCTCTGCTTACAAAAGATGATCGGGAAACGCGTAAAGATAAGTGCACTTTACGCACCTACCTCGGGCAGGATGTGGGCTTACGACAAGCTAGAACTGCCCTTCAATATTTCCAGCGATGTGAGACAAGGACTTCCGCTGTCATCAACCTTTATTAACTTCGATATTGACGAAGTCATGGAAACCACGTTCCCTTGACACGACATAAGGGATTTATGACTTTGATATGCCGATAAGATTGTTCTAATCTGTTAGAGCCCACTGAACGGATTAACGTTGGCTGTCAGCATTGCACTCCCTAAATGAAAAGCTCCCTTCCAAGATTGACAAGTGTCACCTCTTGAGCTGACCCTTGGTGGGGATCAGTTAGTTGTTCAAAAATTCAGTTACCTATGTAGCTATCACTGTCTGTGGGATAAAAGATGAGGTGGTGCACCGTATAGCGAAAGCTTGAGGCATTTTTGCCAATGTACCCCACCTGTGGTGGTGTCTTCGTGACATCTCGTGCTGAAGGGTAAAGTCCACAATGTCGTATTGCCTGGTTGTGAAACCTTGACAGCCAGATCCATTAGTAACGTTCAACCACCGATGCCTTTAAGATTGGTCTATGCTGGTGGGAACACTGCGTGAGCGAGAAAAGTGTTCCGCGCTTGTTTATGGAGTGCGAAGAGCACGTGAATCGCTCATCATTATTTCATGTAGAAGGCTCGGATGGATAGATCATGCGTTACGCATACCAATGCATCGATTTCAGCGGCATGTGTTGTTTTCGCGATCGATGGCTGGATGTAGTAAGAGGAGGGGGTGAAGCGATGACTTGGTCAAGGGGAATAAAGGCCCTCACTTCGAGGCTAACCTCGGAACCTCGCAGCCATCCGGTTGGGGCCCGAAAGACGAGGAACATGTCTGGCTGGATGCGCTTAACACAGCGAAGAGCCAACCACAGTAGCGTTCGTGCGACGAGTTTCTTTGTCTGCTCCTCTCACGCTTAGCCTCCTCCTCCGAGCGCAATCTCAGTCGAGACGCATAATATAAATTTTCATTGTTTTGCCTGTCTTTTTCATTATTTACTGTCATCACCTAACCGGTTTGCAACGCAGCACAATAGCCGATGTGTTTTCTTCATTAAACTAGCGCGTATAATGTTGATGATCATACCACAAGTGGACAACGAACATGTCAGTGATGCCCGAGACAAACCGTGTCCCGCAGTGCATAGGGCTAAATACAAAGTGGATCTTGTGGATTCCAGTCCGGAAAACGGGGCGGACAAACAGCAGCCAACCTGACAAGCATGGGCTTTATTACCCGCTCCCCAGATAGATAAGAAAATTTAACATCACTCAGAAAAACAAAGCTTTATTCGGCAAGGGGAGAACGAATCTTCGTGGCAACTGCTCGAATCAAAGCCGTTCATCTGGGTTCATTTGTTGATCAGGCGAACCATTGGGATCATCGCTGTCTAGCAATCTCCGATGCACGACATCGCAGTGAATTTGTTGGTTCCACTTACCATCGACAATACACTGGACAACAGCGGATAAAGATCTTAATACTCTAAAATTTTGACAGGTCAAGTCGTATCGCAGTCGAGCATGAAGGCGTAGAGGACCAAGTCAATCGT